TGTTGGAATATGTGTCTCATAGATGCTCAAGCCATGTCCAATGAGACAGACCATTTATTGTTGCCTTCTGATCAAGATGTAGCCAGCACCACGTCTGCCTGCATGCCACCATACTCCCATCTGCTACGTTCCTCACCATGATGATAATGGACTAAACCTCTGAAAATGTAGGCGAGCCACCCCAATTAAATGTTTCCCTTTAGAAGAGCTGTGATGGTCATGGTGCCTCTTCACAGAAACAGAAACCCTAACTAAGACAGAACTGAATACAAAAGGAACACCCAAATCCCTCTACCACAGAATCAGCAGTTTCAGATAAGGTGCAAAGTGTTTCCTCTACAGAGCCAGAATCTATGAGGCAGCTGGACTAGCCTCCATCCTCTTCAACCAAAAACTCTCAGTCTGCAACAGTGTGGTCTAGAAGCATGTATTTTCCCAAGCCGCCCAGCCAAAACTGCATCAGAGCAGGGCTATTTATGAATCCTGTTATCAAGGCACGTGTACTGTATATGCTAGTGGTGTCCTGCAGGGAGTAATTCTCAAGGTGGCCGCTAACATATCACTTAGCAGACATGTTTTAAGGTGCCAAGTGGTCTGCAGCCACGAGATGGCCATACTCACCTGTATCCATGCTTCCTTTGCCAAGTTCCAAATGACTACCCATCTACAATTCCTAGTCTAAGCACCTCCAACCTCCTACACAAAGGTCTCTGAACAGGACATTTCCCAGCATGCTTTCTCAGTCCCTCTCACTCACTCAAGTGGTGGTCAGATACTAGCGAAAACAATCCAAGCCAAGGATGTAGCCCAGAGGTAGAGTCCGTGCCTAGAATATTCCCAGGCTGTAAGCAAGCAAACAAACAACAATAAATAAACTGAGCTGAACTTTGCTTTTAAACTAGAATTTATTGGTATACAAAGTCCATTTCAAAGATAAAGTGGCACGTCTTTGCGGCTTCTATTGCACCAAGTGTTGAAGATCAAAAACACAAAAACATTTGGTTCTTAAAACACTGCAAATAGCCAAGTACAGTACTTTGGTAAATAAAAAATAAAATGATTCAGATGAATACAATCTGTGAAAAGAGACAGCCTAGGGGAAATGGGCTCCAGACACCAAGAAACGGTTATTTCTCACCTCTATGCTCCATAGCTAAGGCAGACTTGCTAAGTCTAAGGGTAATGACCCCAAGGAGATCTCAGATCTCTCTAGACTAACGCTAGAACAAGGACAGTGCAATTAGAGAAAGAGGAAGGCAGACACACTGGCCTTTTCTAGGGTGACGGGGAGACACCAGCACTGAGGGTGGTGCTGAGCCTGACTCAAGCCCCTTGTCTCCCCTTCTCCTTGCTAGTGCTTAGTGAGATGCTGGGAAGGTAACCTCCATGGAAAATGAACCCCAAGAATAGGAAGACATGAAGAGTCCCACAGCAGCGGAGACTCAGGTTTCAACAGAGGGCTGCCGGGGCTCAAACCACAGGAGAGGGCTGACGAACTTCACTGACTGTCACAGTGGCTGAAACGGGACTGCGGGGTGCTCATGTGCCAGACCCCTGTGCTCAGGACAGAGCAAAAGGAAGCCTGGATCACAGGTCTGCCCTGCTTATGTAAAGTCACTGTGCAAGTGTACAACTATACAGAGAGTGCCCTCTGCATGGCTACCGGCCTTCGAGAGATCAACATTTCAACTGAGCTACAAAACAAAGAGTGAGACTCTAGAAACACCGATTAAAGAAAGAAACCATCAGGCCTTTACCTGGGACAGACGGCCACCAGGCTATCACAGAACACAGCCTTCTCCTGAGCCTCACACCCTGCACTTCCTCTTGGGACAGAGGCATGGTGTTGCCTCCACTCAGCAGAAAACATCAACTGACCCCAGCAGTAGTCAACTTTTAGAACCTAAATACACAGTTGTATCTTGGACCTTGGAAATGGTAGCCTGCCTGCCAGGATAAGGGACATGCTCCTGGAAAAGTACCTCTTGGACTGCTCGGGGCGACACTGGGTGAAAGCAACACCCAGCCTTCAAGGGAAAGGAAGCAGACAGCAGGTAAAGGGGAAACTGAGGCCCTGCACCTCGCCTGGGCCTAAAGGTCGGGGAGGCAAGAAGCCGAAGCCCACATGGGGTTAAGACAGGCTCCAGAAGGGCCACCGAGGCCATAACTCTCAGGAGGCTCCTCCTCTTTTGCTCACACCCTGCTCAGAGGTGACTGAGTCCACTCTCTTTGGGGACCCGGGTTTCTTCTACCCAGCCGGATGTCTGAGCTGAACATTTCAGAGGTGCTCTGTGTTGTCCTGGTAAAACCCAGGCAGACAGTAGTTTCTTAGAATGTGATGGACTTGAGCGCAGTGCTCTGGCAAAGTCCACCTGACACTACAAAGCAACCCGAGCCACTGTCAGCAGTCCTGCTCTGCTCCCCAGGGAACAGGCTATTATGCCTGAGCTACAGAAAAGTTCCCCACCGAGCCCCACACCAGCTGCCCTGCAAGGTCAGCCTCCTTCACTTGCACAATCAAAATGGGGTTGGAAATGTTTTCAGAGCTCACAGAAGAAGCTACAGGAAACCCGGGAGGACATTTAAGACTCTTCTTCCTGCTACAATCACCCACCAGACTCTGGTCCCCACAGGTGGATGCTCTGTTGAAACCCAAATGAGTGTATGTATCTCCCAGTGGCTGCACTATCAAGTCTGGTCTGTGTTGTTCTAATTCATCTGCCTCTAGTGCAAAGTGTTGCCATCAATTTGTCTTTCTTATTTCGACCTTAAAAACTTATTCTTAAAATCTAGAAAATCCTTCCACAGAGTTTATAAGGCCAGTGAGCCACCATGAGTACTGCGGCTTCCCTTCCCTCATAATGAGCTACCATATTCTCAGGTAGCAGCCAAGACACAGCCAGCTTCTCTGTGAGTGCCTGAACAGCAGGAACAGTGTTAACCGTCATCACCCCAAAGCTCAACGTACCAGGCCTCACAATGGCTGCCAAGGAGGTAACCGTCATGCACCCACTACAGTGGTGACGCCTACTGACCACCTCAGTGAGGCCTTGAAGCCCACATTCCGAGCCTGAGCTGGACAACACCCTCAAGCTGGGTGGAGGGACCCCACTTCCAATAAATAATCAGCACATTAAAGAAACACACCAAGTCAAAGTGGAAATTTGTATGTGGACAGTGAAAAGAGAAAACTGTGTTGAAGAGGCTGCCATTGTAACTGGGAAAGCACAGTCTCCGCCTTCTGGAAACAGGTCACCCAGAACTAAATGACCATCTGTAAACGAAAGCACTCTTTAACAACCCGACCTCCACAGCAGCTCTGACACCTGAGAGGGCCCGTGCTGTCCTCAGCCAGGTAAACAGCAGCTAGCTCCTTGAGTGCCCAAGGCTGTTGACAACTCGTCACAGTTTGGGTTTTTAAGTGCTGGGGATGGAACCCAGGGTTTCCCAGACACTAAGCAAGGGCTCTACCACCAAGCCTGCTCCCCGGGCCCTGCCACTTCTGACTTACAACACTGGCAAACAATGCTACCCTTTCTACAGGGACCTGGCATTCTGTGTTCAGGCAGTACAAAACAGCAAGCAGAGAGCTTCCATTCAGTTGAGTTCAGCCAACCCAGACCCTGTTCCTGATGACCCCAGAGAACACTGGCTCCAGAGCCAGCCCTGCTCCTGTCCCTTAGAGCACCATGGCCACCTCCTTCCCTTCTGGGGACTGAGGCCTGAGTCTCCAGCTGAAGAGGAAAAAAAAAAAAAAAATGCCATGTAGTTTTCAAATCTACACAATATTTCAATGTCCTGTAACACACTGTCCTGGGAGAGTTTCCAGGAGACTTCTGCTGTTCCAAACACAAAGTTCCAAAGCCAAACAAATGGAAAATGAAAGGACAACATTAAACTGAAGAAGTAAACAGCTTGCTGATAGAACAATTGGATAAATCCACAACCTGCCCAGACAGTGGAGTCTGTGTCTGTACGTTTTATAATTTTCCTTTTGCCTCTGGTGACAACAAAGGATTCATCTTTTGACCCTTGTACAGTGTTAGCCTGGGTACTAGGTTCCCAGAAGACAGACTTTAGTCATGATTGTCCCCCCACACGTGACAGCTTAAAGTAAACATATAACCCGTCCTACTTGCCGGTGCCTCAGAACTGAGTCGTTCAAAGGCCTCCAACAGCATAGGCCCTCTCCCCAGCCAAGTAGCCCAGTCATAGACAGCCTCAGCCACTGCTGCACCATACCCACTACTGAAATCACTAATAACAAGATACATTCTGAAAGATTCTTCTAACCCTACCTAGCCTGGAACTCACTGCATAGCCAAAGCTGATCCCAGCCTTGCAGCAATCCTGCCCTGCTTGAGTGCTGGGATCCCATTTCATTTTCTTGTGTTAAAAAAATTTAGCAACCTCTAAGGTCAAGCGACCACTTACTTCTCTGTAAGCATCTTTCTGAGTCTAGCATATCAAAAAGAAAAACATAGTTAAAATTCAACCTTGGAAAACTTTATCCTGTAGACTTCTCCATAGAAGAAGTCTTTAGACTCTACTGAGGAAAACTTGAGGCCCCCAACCCCATCCCACCCCACCCCACCATACAGCTATGGACTCAAGCCTGCACATCAGAGTTCAGAGGTGTCCTCAAGCAGAGCCACACTATCTCCTACCTGCTCAGAAAACATCCGAAACTCTGCTGACTGTGCAGCTCTCAGCTGACTGTGCAGCTCTCAGCAAAACCCAGGCTCACCCACAGCCAGGCACATGCACCACATGGCTGGAAGAGGAAAGATAGACACACTCTGAGGTGATAGCAGAGACAGGAAGAAGGGAGATGTCGTTGATGTCCCTGACTGCTGTGAGCCACCGGCCCTGTCATATCACTGACATGTCCAAGTAACCTGGGTCAGAAACAAATCAGATCTATCAGATCTCAACACACTCTTGAGCTGGTAAACCAAGACGTGCATCCCTGCTTGAAAATGAGAGAGAAACAAAAGAAGTTGTCACCGTGGATTTCTAATGATTGTGCTAAACGACTTCAAGATAATTACAGCAAACCCACCCCACACGTCACGGAAGAGCCTAGGATCACCACGCTCCAAAGGCAACCTCCCCATGACCCAGCCTTGGCTCAGTACTTTCTTTGTGTTCCAGAAGGCAAATGGCTTCACCATAACAACAAAACACTGACAGAGCTAAGGACAGAAGAGTCGGCTTGAAGGAAGGACTCCTGTGGGCTCGTGTGTGGGCACTGTTAGGACACCTGGCTGGGATGCCTGGTCTGCAGCATTCATCCTCCACCTCTCAGGGGCCTGAGAGTCAGATGTTCAGAGCAGCAAAGGTCTTCACCAAGGTAACCTGCGTGTTCACATCTGCTTCGCTTCTGCTGGCGTCCCTATGGCTGCCCCTGCTCTCCAGGGCCCTGTGGCGGTGCCTCTCCTCCTGCCGTTTCTTCTTCTCCAGTCGCTGTTGCTCCCTCCGCTGCTTGTTTGTAACCTGGAAAAGACAGTGGCAGTGTGGGCCACCAGTGCTGTGAGATGCTGGGCTGAAGGAAGCACAGGGCCCAGGATACTTTCAGCAAGGACAGAATAAACAGCCCGAGAGAGCACAAGGATGTCATCTCCACCATTGTTCAAAAGACTTTTGACATTTATGTTTCCTTCCTGAAGCATCAAGTCAAATCAATCCTCTTCATAAAACAACCCAAATACCATGAAGATAGTGCCCCAAGTCCAGCCACTGATGACAATCCCATGCAGGGGCCTGGAGACACTTTCTCCATCATTTAAGATAATGGCAATAAAGTTCCCAGACTGTGACATCATTTTCTGCACCTTAGGTAATAGTCTAGCTCAAAACATCTGCCTTTAAGATAAGTTTGAAACTGGATAAATTAATGACACTTGTGGAAGTCGGGGCAGGGATGGAGGCATACACTTTGTTATTCTTTTGCTGCAGCTAATGCCTAAGAAACACAAACACGAGACTCAGCGCCCACGTGGAGTTTATTGAGAGAGGGGAGAGAAAGAGGGGGTAGCTGGTGGCCAACCGAAAGCAGGAGAGAGAGAGAGAGAGAGAGAGAGAGAGAGAGAGAGAGAGAGAGAGAGAGAGAGAGCAAGAAGGGGGGGCCAGAGAGAGGCCAGAGAGGGAAAGCAAGAGGGGGAATAAGAGAAACCAGAGAGAGAGAGAGCAAGAGGGGGCAAGAGAGAGCGGCCGCTTGGCGCGCTTGCGCATGCATAACTGAGTCCTCTGGCAGCCAGGTAAAGCTTGAGCCGCCAGGTAAGGCTGACTGACATAGCAATGACACAGCCATGAGTGTCCCGCCCATCATCAGGCAGGGGTCAGCTGGTTGCTAGTTCCTAACACACCTGACAGGTTAGCAAGAGCCTGAAGCAGATCTAGAGAGGCATGCCCTGATTTAACCTGGGACACTATGCAAGAAAACAATGCAAAGCACAAAGATTTACACACAAAGTTGTTTGCTCCAGGTGACGCAAATACACCCTGACAGTCACATCGGATGGGAGGAGGTAGCTATGCATCTGTACAGAGGGGCTATAGGCTATTGTGACTGTGGGACAAGCAAAGTCTTCATTCTGCATCTTGGTACATGTCTGTATGCCTGCCCCCAGATGCTGTACAAGAACTACTTTCATACATCTAGAAAAATGCACAGTAGGGTGAAATGCAACTTCCCACGCCTGCTTAGAATCCCCAGTGCCCTTGCCTCCCACCACATCATACCTTTGGGATCTGGTTTTTATTTGCTTTGTTTTCTTCACTAGGTCTGGCCCGAGCCTTGCTGTTTTCTATCTGGCCTTCATTTCCACCCTGATTTCCAATGAGTGTGGAGCCGCTGCCTGCCTCATCGGATGAAGGGTCACACTGCTTCGATACTTGGTCACTAGGCTCCAGGTTCTCCTTTGCATCTTCCAAAGAAAGGCATTTTTTGTTAAAAACAAGAACTCAACAGTTACACAAAGCAACTGCAGTTACATGGCTGCAAGATCACTGGGGGATGGAATCTGACACTCCTCTCAACAGTCAGGAAGGCTGCAATAAGCCTGTGAAGCCTCTGGCTGGCTCCAAGGTTCACAGCCAACATCTGCCAGCAGTGTTTGTTTTCTTACATGAACTTTTAAAGAGAATTTTTAGGGATAAAGTATTCATTTATATCCTACATCTAAAACAAAACATGGTCTAACCCTACACAGCCCAATCCAGTGGCCACAGCCACACATGGCTGCTAAGATCTAAACTAATCAAAACTCACTTCAAGTGCAGGCCCAGCTCACCCTGCACATGCACACCCCACACACTGTGCAGCATAGATAGGAGGCAGTGTTAACTCCTTGTCATGACAGATAAATGCTCACAGTGCTCAAGTGGGGACAGATGGATAGTGTGGCCACTGCAGCAATCATGTAGGCTGCAGACACCAGGGAGTGATCGCATAACACTTGAAGCTTATTGAGAAGTCTTAGTGTGGAACCTACTGTTTCCTTTCCCCTGGTTCATCTGAAGCATGGCGATTATTGCAGATTCAATATTGTAATTTTCGGCTTCCAGGTTCTGGACTATTAAGTTAAAATCCTACGGAAGAAGCAGAGACACACAGACTGGAGGCGCTGTACTCCTGAGCTCTGCTTCACCACACGGAAACACGAACAGAGGAACGGACAAGGCTCCAAGACCTCATCCACCAAAACAACATCAATCTCAAACAAGACCATCACATGCAGTAGCCATTCCAATGCATTTTAAAATAAACTTTCTTTATAAAGCTATACCTTTACTAGAGCAAATCTCTCAAAAAAGATTAAACCCACTCCTTAGGATTTTGAGCATTGATGGGTAAAACTCAGAGAACAAGAGAAATGAATTAACAGTTCCCCACTCCCGTGGGTCTCTGACAGGCCAACTCTGGCATGGCAGCACCTGATATGCAGCATGGGGGAGGACACTAACTGAGCATCCAGCTGTGAGGCATGGGGGGGGGCACTAACTAAGCATCCAGCTGTGAGGCTTGAGGAAGGATACTGAGCATCCAGCTGTGAGGCATGGGTGGGGGAAATGATACTGAGCATCCAGCTGTGAAGCATGGGGGGAGGACACTAACTGAGCATCCAGCTGTGAGGCATGGGGGGGAGGGCACTAACTGAGCATCCAGCTGTGAGGCATGGGGGGGGAGGGCACTAACTGAGCATCCAGTTGCATTGCCAACTTTCTGGACAGCATCTTCCACTTCATCTCTCGGGCAGTCTTCTAAATCCACCCCTTTTGTCTTGATCTTTTCTTTTTTATCTGCTCCATCTTGATGAAGCATCTGGAACTAAAAGAAACACAGCATAGGACCATGGACTCCAGCAAATTCCCCTCAGCTCTCTAACACAGAAGGACACCTGAATCACAAACCATCTAAACATGGGAGGAAGAATTCTAGAAACAACCTGACGAGAACAGCAGTAGCTAGACTCACCCACATTGAGAATCTGGGACAGCCCTGAGTACAGAGCAGGGAGAAACCACACAGAAAGAACAGCAGCAAGGCACCCATGGTATTTGGACAGCAGTGCTTGGGCAATGATGTCTGAGTCTGTCAGCACATATTTGCCTACGTTTGCTGAGTACAGAAGATGGTCCCCATGTTCACGCCTGCTGAGCTACTGAACTTATAGTGTTAGCCTTGAAAACACAAGTATCCAGCTCTCATCTGGCCCCCCAATTCTCTGTGATAACCAGCAAGCTCTGGGACACATGGCATTGCTGACTCCACACACCTGTGGGGCACACCACACTCAGCCAATCCAAAAGCTTAGGTAACATAGCTCACTTGGGGCCCAAGTCAGAAAACCAACCCACTTCCTGCCCCCTTTGACTACACAACCACCATCTCCTTCTGCCTCCTGAAAATGGAGGGAGACATGCAATGGACACAAACACAGAGCTCAGCCATGAGCAGTATATCCATGAGAGCCTCAACACAAAGCTACCTATTAAGATTAAACGACCTTAGCGGCTGGCAATAAGCAACCTTTCACAGAGCCCAGGAAGCCAGCCAAGAAATACATGAGATATAGGCTAATAGGAAAGTCATCTATGGTGATGACCAACGAGACAAAAGCTACAGGTTTCACAGCATGACAGGGAACATGCATGTCCTCAGATAACATCTTCACTCCAGGTACAGTGGTGAGCATCATCACTACTGAATATTTCAGAGGTAACCGCTGACTCAGATAAAACAATTGGAAGTATAAAATTAGGGAAAAAGAAACATCTACTTAGACACGATAATGCTGTACCTGAAAAACAACCAACAAACCACCAGGAAAACCCATACCAACAGCAGCAACACTAATAAAAAAAATCCTGACAAACTGTGTATTTGGTAAAAATCTAGTAGCCAGAATCTATAAAGAGCTTTTAAAATTAAAAAGCAAAATGACAGCTCAAGATGTGAGCTCTCAGCTGCTCTGCCACTGTGCCTTTGCTTTGTCACTGCCAACTCTAACCCAAGTCCCAAAGTAAGCACTTTGTTTTATACGCTGCCTTGGTCATGGTGCTTTATCACAGCAATGGAAAAGTAACAAAGACACTGTGATAGAGCCACACAGTAGAATACCATTAAACAGTACTCATGCACATGACAGCACGGCTGACTCTCATAAACACCATGCTAAGTGAAAAGGGCCAGGCAGCAAGGGTCAAATACATGATTCCATTCACAGCAATGTACACAATCAGGTGTGACAGAGAAAGGCTGCCTTGCTGGCATGAGACTTTCCGTTGGTTTTAGCACCAACAGAGGACATGGTCAAGGAAGCCCGGAGTGTTCCACTACAGCACATGCTGCATGTGAAGTGATCCACATGGTAGGTGGCTTTACTTCAGTCTTTAAGGGAAAGAGTTCCATAGGATCTTTGGGTGTGTCAAGAGGTTTCATCCAAATGATAACCAGTTAGGAAATATGAACAGAAAAAGATCCACGTCACATAACAGGAACAAAACCACAAAATATCTGAGAATAAAAAGAAAGAAAATAAGCAAGCTCTATCTGAAGAGAACACTCCCAAGGAGTTCACATCAGTCAACAAAGCTCACCAGGTCCTGGCTAGGACCATGTAAGTCATACAATACACTTAAAATGGCAATTTTTCTTTAATCTATGACTCTAGTAAGACTCCGATTAAGGACCTGTGAATGTAAATCAGTTGGTAGGGTGGTTGCCCAGCATATAAAGCCCTGGGTTCAATCCATGACAAAATACAGAACAGCCACAGGGGCACGTGTCTATAATCTCAGCACTTGGGAAGTAGAAGCAGGAGAATTGGAAGTTCATGTCCTTAACTACATACAAAAGTCAAGGTCAGCCTGGGCATTGTTGGGATGTAACACTGTGGCCAGTGCTCAGGGATGCTTGGTGTGCACAGGGCAGTGTCTCAAGAAGAAGCAGGAGGCTGAACAGTTTAGATTATTGACTGCTCTTCCAGAGAACCCAGGTTCAATTCCCAGCACCCACATGAAAGCTCACAACCATCTGTAACTCCAGTTCCAGGAAATCCAATGCCTTCTTTGGCTTCCAAGAGCACCAGGCTGCATGGTACAGGCACAAACACTCGGGAAACACCCATACATACAGAATACAAACAAACAGGAAGAGGTGAGAGGAGCCAGGGAGAGAGGGCTTAGCAGATTCCCAGCTCACCGGGTGGTTTACAACTATGCTAACTCCAGCTCCATAGGATCTGACACCCTTTTCTGAACACCTCAGACACCTTCACTTCGACACATGCACTCCCACAAGCGCGCATTCCCACACACATGCACTCCCACACACATGCACTCCCACACACATGCACTCCCGCACACATGCACTCCCACACATGCACTCACATAGACCTACACACATATAATTGAAGATAAAAAAATAAAGAAAAAGGATTCCAATTTTTAAAAAAGCAAGCCATTTTTAAAAAGCAAAACATAGAAAATCATAACAAAAATCAGTTAAGTAAAAAACTATCCCAGATTGTACAATAAACTTGTACTAATTAAAACTGCAGGGCATGAACACACACACAGAAGCTAGTGGAGCAGAAGTAATAAGCTAAAAGGAGATACAAACACATATGGGACTGAGTGTGTGCAGCACATTGAACCAGGAAGGAAACATGCAGCATGAAAAGACATCTAGCTGCAGTTGGGAAAGCACAAAAGACACAGAGATGACCCACTGCCTCAGGCCCTAATGAATATAAATTCCAAGTGGAGCCAAGGGTTTCATATAAAACCAAAAGGGGGTCAGGTACAGGGACCCACATTTGTAATCCTTGCTGTATAGAAACAGAGGCAGGAGGATGACAACAAGTTCAAAGCCAGCCTGGGATTATCCAGGGAGAGAGCCACCTCTAAAAAACTAAAACTAAAGATAAATAAAAACAAAACAAAAACTGTAACTGTTAAAAAAAAAAAAAAAAAAAAAAAAAAAAAAAAAAAAACCAGGCACTGTAGCCTCTAATCCCAGCACTTGACAGGCAGAGGCATAAAGATCCCTGACTTTGAGGCCAGCCTGGTCTACACAGTAAGTTCTAAGTCAGCCAGAGCTAAGTAGAGATTCTGCCTCAAGAAACCAAACCAAAATATAACTAGAATATAAAACTACTAGAACAACTCCGGGATCATCCTCTAACCTCAGAACAGAAAGGGCTGTGTCTAGTTATGACCCCAAGCCCCAGAGTTGGGTAGGGAAACCCTGATAGGGCAGGATATGGCTCAGAGGCACAGCACCTCCTTGGCCATGTCTGACAACTAGCACTGCCAAAAAAAAAAAAAAAAAAAAAAAAAAAACCCAAAAACAAAACAAAATCTAAGAAACCGAGGAGTGGGAGGACAAGGTGGACAGAGGAATGGGAAGATGTAAATAAGGTATTGGTAAATTTACCTAAAACCCAAACACCCTAAAAACCCAGCTAAGACCACAACAGACAGAAAAATAGAAATGACAGACTAGGAAATGTCTGCAGACTAGGAAATGAAGCTTCTCACAGAAGCTTATTTCCCTAATGTATAAAAAGTTTCTAAAAGCCATCAAGACAACACACTAAGACAAAAGTGAACAAAGGAAAGAAATGCAGTTCACAAGAAAGGAAGAATGGGCGGGTCATAAACACAGGGAAAGGTACACAACGGATTAATGACAAAACACTCATGAACTCTACGTGGGAGGAGGAGCGCTCGCTCAGCAGCTAAGAGCTCTGGCTGCTCTTGCAGGAGATCAGCATTTGGTTCCCGGCACCCACATGGTGCCTCACAACCACCTGTAATTCCAGCTCCAATAGATCTGATGTCCTTGTCTGGACTCTAAGGCACCTGTATGTGCTTACATGCACTAACACACACCTAATAAACCTAGGGAAAAAATCCATTATGTAAAAACAAAGACAGTCTTCCCTAATCTGATAAAGATTAAACTTTATTTTTTTTCTTTCAAAGGGTATGTCAAGAGCCACATACTGTAGTCAGGACCCTAGGACACTGACAGGAAGTGATATGGTAACATCTATGGAAACACCTTGACACACAAAGGCTCCTGTGAATTTATCCTAGAGAAAGGGGGTACATATACAAAACACTGCACATTGTTGCCTCTGACGGCACAGGCTCAAAGGACACATTTAAGAGGGGGTTAAGAGACTGCCTAACAGGTTGTGATGGACCCACGCAGCAGAATATCAGGCCACCTTCAAAACAGATCTAGGAAGGCTTCTGTGTACTGCCAGGAATTAAACCCCAAGACACATTAAATATAAAGACCACTGTGCATGGCAGATCTGAGCACTCACTTGGGCTGAAGTAACAATAGCAGCGTGGGCTGCAGATGGCTCTGTCATCCCAAGTACTCCCTGTGTAGCCAGAGGACCTGACTATGGATCCAGCAATAAGAAGCTAAGCATGGCCTGGGTCACACCTGCAACTCAGTGCTGTGGAGCTTGGAGACAGCAGGATCACTGGGTCATGCTGGCTATAGTCTAGCCAAAATCAAACAAAAACCCAAGCAAGTTTCAGAATCAAAGAGAGAACCTGCCTCAAAAGGATATAGTGGAATTTACAGGACAGTGATGCTCTCCTCTGGCTTCTGTGCACACATAGGCATGCACACCATAAACCACACTCTCTCCCACACATGGACAGAATGGGGAGCAGGAAACGAAGCTACATAGATAATATAATTTCATCCAGTCTTGAAGCACCAAATGACTAACATGAAATCTGCTGAGAAGTGAACAACAAAATTTGCATCCATGCAGCTACTTCTATGTGCTTTTTACCTTTTTTTTTTTTTTTAACCCCTTGTGTAGTTTCCAAATTTCAGATAATGGGCATGGACTGATTTTTAAACAAAATTAATTTTAAGAATTCAGATCGTGTATACACCTAAGCATAGGTGCCTACTGGAGGAAGGTAAAGGGACAACAAGCATCTCTCCCCTCACATGTATATGTGCATGCACACCCATGCCATGACCTCATGTACGTGTCTGAAGTCATCTCGTGAGAGCTGATTCTTTTGTTCCACTATGTGGGTTCCTAGGAGAGAACCCAAGTCGTCAGGCTAGGCAGCCAGTGCGCCTGCCGGCTAAAATTATTTTAGCAGTTAGATCCACAGCTCTCCAACAGGAACTTTTCATTATCAGCAACAACAGCTGGCCCCTGGTGTTCAGCTCAGGACACAGCTCTGGAGCTGCTCCATGCAGGTCTGGAAGCAGAAGGAACAAGGGCTTCACTTACATCCGTCTGGAGATGGGCCGGCGCTTCTGAGTTGTCATTGATCCTCCGAACGCTGTCGTAGTGTTCACCGTACCGGTAGGCAATGTGTAGTTCCCTCACGCTGCTTTTGTCCGTACCTCGAATCTGCAGACAGAGAGAGGAGCGGGAGGTGTGGGCCTGTGGGGATTCTGGGCCCTGGCCAGGAAGTCAGGCCAGTAGGCTCTATAGAGACGGACTGGGACACTGATCTCTGAGCTGTCTTCCTGTGCAGGCTTGCAGGCTTGCAGGCTTCCAGGTGCCTATGTAATACTTGCCAATATGCAAGTGAATCCATATGGAATGACTAACAAGCCAGAGGGAGGCCTGCAATGAAGTCAGATAAAACTAAACACCTGGCCGTGCACAGGCTCCTTTCAATGGGAAGACCCTGCAGCAGACCCAGATCCGTTGAGCCAGAAGCTCAAATAGAAAAGGATTATCATTGGAAAAAGAAGTAAATGCCAAGTATAAAGTTTCTAGATCCCCTTGAAGACCTTTAAAATGGAACCATACACAGCTGGCCTGACATGGCTTTGTTAGCTATAATAAATCCACCTCCTTTTTCCAATCATACATGAAACATAAAGGCAGCAACAATCTCAAAACCTAACACAAAACCTAAGACAAAATTCCTGAATAAAACTGCACCAGCACACCACACGGCCCTGCACACCTCATAGCCCTGGGCACTGTCCACAGTGTCCTGGGCACATCGCACAGCACTGGGCACTGCCCTGCACTCACAATTCAACCCTAGGCACTGTCCACACAGCCCTGCACATAGCTCTCAGCCCTGGGCACTGGCCACAGTACCCACACCCCTGAGAACTGTCCACACTGCTCTTCACACACCACAGCCCTGGGCACTGTCCACACAGCCCTGTGCATACCTTGTAGGCCTGTGAACTGTCCACACTGCCCTGAGCACACAGAGCAGCCCTGGGAACTGTCCACACTGCCCTGAGCACACAGTTCAGCCCTGGGTACTGTCCACATTGCCCTGAGCACACAGTTCAGCCCTGGGTACTGTCCACATTGCCCTGAGCACACAGTTCAGCCCTGGGTACTGTCCACATTGCCCTGAGCACACAGAGCAGCCCTGGGAACTGTCCACACAGCCCTGTGCACACCCCACAGACCTGTAAATTTTCCACAGTCCTGTGCACACCAAACAGCCTTGGGCACAGGCCACAGGGTGTTAAATCCCAACAATGCCTTGGGATACAACAAGAATCAATTCTCTAAAATCATGGGGGGGGAAAAAGCATACAAAACTGTAAGTGCTGGGCTGGGAAGATTCCCTCCAAAGAAACTAAAATAATTCCAATTTTACCCCTAGGTAACTGTTCCTCCTTTAAAATTCTAAAACACCAACCCTCTTTATTTTCACTGAAAGTCCAAAGTAATCTGAGGTGGCCATTAACTTAAACAGTATTCAAGATCTAAAAACAGCAAGTCAGCCAGGTGGTGGTATACACTTTTAATACCAACACTCGAGAGGTAGAAGCAGGTGGATCTCTGAGTTTGAGGACAGCCTGGTCTACAAGAGTGAATTCCAGGACTATACAGAAAAATAAAAAACAAAACAAAACAAAGAAATCAAACCTAAAACAACAACAAGAAAAAAACAAACAAACAACAAACCCCCACAAAAACAGTAGCCACAGGACAAGCAGGAATCACACAGATCCCGTGTAGGAAGTACAAAAGCTTCTATAGTAGAATGTCTAGGTCTGGAGAGGTGAGTCTAGATGGGCATGTGACACAGCAGAAGCACCACTGTCTCCCAGAAAGGACACTGAGAGGATAGCTTTTACTTTGTCTTCACATGACAAAGTTCCTACAGCATTACATATTTAGTAACAACATAAGGATATTATGAATGGAAAACCAACTAGAACAGTCACCCAAAATTGTTAGGCTCATACCTAACAGGCCTGTCAGTGGCTACACAATACATGGAAACCGCTCACAGGCCTGCACACCAATGCAGGAGACAATGTAAGTTTCAGTATCCATGTTGAGTCTGAGCCAACTCATTAATACAAGAGCTCGAAACAATGACTGTGCCCCCAGGCAGGGCAGATCCAATAGGATAAATCTGCTTTAAGTATGTACTTCCACTGTTTTGCAAGTCATAAACCAGGATGCTACAGAAGTAGATTTGAAAAATGTAAGAATTGGGGCAATTAAGAAACTTAAGAGTTATCTTTAGGAAAAACACTGATGGCTACCTCGCTGACATGGGTTTCTCCTTCTAGATCAGGTTCCTCACAGCGTGTACTCAAGTGTCCTGAGTTGTCAGGACACTGACTGCACACGGTAATAACAAATGGCTGGAACTGGAGGGGTAACCGTGTTCTTGGCCAGCAGATCACTCTTAAGAGCACCCACTCCACACAGGTCCTCTCCCTGCCACGTAGACAGCTAGCCACACTGGGCAAGGAGCTGGGTCCTGTTCCCTCACTGCTCACCGCATCACTGAGGCATGTTCTCACCAGCCCTGCCAGCATCTACTTCACTTTGTCCTGTGTAACTGTTAAAAGGACCCTGTACCAGATACAAAAGGCTGAAGACTTCCATTTACGGGACAAAAAAGCACAACTAGAAGGAAAACAGTGAAACAGTAGCTACCAGAGGCTGGGAAAGAGATGAGTGGGTAGTGACGGCCCAGGGCAGGCACTAACTTCTTGGCAGAGTGCAGCTATGCCATATGTTGTTGTTGGTATTACATATATGTCAAACACAGAACTATAAACGAGAAAAGGGTGAATTCTGGCATGTGTAATTTATATTTTTAAAAACTGGACCTTCTTTTAAAAATAAAAAAAAAAAAAAAAAAAAAAAAAAAGAGTACAGGCCAAGACACAGGCAATTACAAAGGGGTACATGCCGGCAGCACTCAAAGAAAACATGCCCTTGGCCTTTAAGATAGTAACGCATGCAGAACTGTGTGTGTGTGAGTGTGTGTGTGAGCTTATGTACATGTGTTTAAAATGTACTGTAAAAACATGTGATTATGCACCCCTGATCATATGCCCAAGTGTGGGTGAATGGCAGGACACCCTAATGTTAACAGTCCTAATTCTGGTCAGTGTGACTCTGGTGGCTTTCACCCACCTCTGGGGGCTTTTCTCAATTTCCCAGTTTTTCTACAATCAAAACGTTTTAACTTTCTAAACAAAAAAAAAAAAAAAAAAAAAAAAAAAAAAGTTCAGCTCTCTCCTGCTGTTCCCCTGGGGCAGACAGGACTTTTCCTGTCTCCCTCTTTTGTGTCCTCTCTCTGTCTCTGCGTCTCTTTACCTCTTTTCGCTTTCCTTCCCCCTTCCTTCTCTTTCTAATAAAACTTCTCACTGACACAGGGCAGAGAGTCAGTGAAAGCACATTCACAGTGACTGGAGCTGAGCCACAGAGTCACACAAAGCCCTCTGAATTCTGAGAAGGTGACTAAGGGAGTGGGGTGCATACTCAGTCAGTGACTTTGATCGATCACCCATGCTCTAGGACATTTGATTTGATGGACTGACAGGTGAGGTTAATGTAGGAGACAAAGAGGAAGAGAAGGAGTTGAGTGGCAGATACTTCACAGGGGAGGGCTGTTTGGCTTCACGACTGTCTCAGCCTGGAGTAAACATTTGCTATAAAATCTTTACTGTAGAAAAAAAGCAAAATGCAGAAACAAAGCTGAATAAAAACAGCACTCTACTGTTCAGAAAACACTTCTTAGTCACTATGGTGAACATAGTCATTAAAATGGATTTTATACTTCTCTACTCCTAAAAACACACACACACAAACTGCAGGGGAACAGGCATACTTCAAACTACCATTTGTGTGTACTAAATATTTATATACCAACATAGTTTAATTGTCTGAAGCATTTCCACATTAATTTCTGTCCACAAATCACCCACTTAGCTGACTGTTGAGTTATAGCCCAGGGTCATAAAATACTCCTCACTCACACTCTGGACTCCGTTTGCGCCCAGCACAGGGTTAGTTAGTTCCAAATCACAAGATGCCTGTCTTTGGTTAGGTCACGGTCCAAACTACTCTTAGTTAGGAATTCAGCATCACAGGTCAAGCCCCATCGTCTTACGGACACTCCTAAACAGGTGACCTACCTGCCACAAAGGGGCATTAAGCTGATGGATCACCACATTCAACTGATGGCGTCTTGCAAAGGCTACGATTGCATCATTGCCAGCAAAAGTACCAGGCTTTGACAAACTGGCCACTGCATGGAGACAGGAGAGAAAGATGAAGTCTTTATGATGGAGAATGCAAATGCAAACATGGTTGGTATTTTATGTAGCTGCAAGCTGTGAGAAGCGTGACCACACATCTGCAAAGGCCACCAGCCGTCAGTCTAGGGAGCTCGAAGTGAACAATACACAGACTACACCACGGTTCCCATCATCAGAGAAGGATCTGCTGATTAATTCCTTCAGTAAATGCTGTGTGCTTCCAATGTGTCCAGAGGCATGACAGACACAGTGTGTACAACAACAGAGAAATGGCAGCAGCTCACACGAATGGATGCAATGCATGCATGCGTCAAGCAGTGCTGATAATTTCTCAGGAATCCTTATTTTTAATCATCAGAGCAATGCTTGGAAGGGTTATCCCACTCGCCACTAGACAGATGAACAAATGGGGTGAGGACAGCCCAAGGCCACAGAGCCTGAACTTGGTGAGCTGGGCTTTCTTTCACTCCAGCAGCTTGTGGCCACTCTGTCACTCTGCCCTGGAGAAGACTACAATCAGAATAATATGGACAATGAAAACAACCAGTGCTTCAGGGAAGGGCTGATCTGGCCTTTACTCCAGACTCCTGCAAAATAACTGCCAAACCTTTGGAATTTCCAAAGGAGGGCAAGTCTCTCTTTTATGATGGGCTCTAGAATACAGCTGCTAACAGACTATACAGTAGCTACATGCTACCACAAAAGAAAACAGAGAAATGGCCAAAAAAGCCAAAACAAAATAACAACAACAACAAAACCAAAGGCAAACTCTGGACTCTAAAGCTGCAGCGAGCGCCCCTGTCGAGAGCACTATGTGTACTGCCATAGAAATGCCAAGAGCATAAAACTTCCGAAAGACAAAGAAGCACTGTGCTTGGAACCTTCTGAGACTGGATGGTGCTGGACCCAGTCTTCCCCTCTAGCTAACTTCAGTCATTCCTTTTCCCGCACAACCACCGCCATCAGGATAGCTCCTGTGAATGTGGGGAATCTGAACTTAAAGGTAGTGTCAGATGAGGGAAATCCTGCAGAGCTGTGCTCATAACCTAGCTTCATGTCAGGGTGTGTGGTGTGTGTGTGTGTGTGTGTGTGTGACAGAGAGAGAGAGAGAGAGAGAGAGAGAGAGAGAGAGAGAGAAAGCACATGTACAGGGAGGGGTGGAGAATAAGGTGTATCAGATAAGCTGATAGGCTTATACTACTAAACCGATGCTCCAAGGCCAAGTAGGAGTTAAAAGGAGCAATGGATGATATTCCAAACAAGAGACTATGGACTATACTGTACCACAGGAACCTGGACTGCAGAAACAGAGGAAGAAAATATGGAGAGAAACAGAGGCAGGAGAAATTAAAAATCACAGATCATGAAGGGCTATATATCACAGGCTCAGCCCTCAGATCAGTGGGCACCAGCAACTCATTTTCTAGGAAAACAAACTTGGATCACAACTCTCTGATTTAGAACAGACTGAAGAGATCAAGGGGCCATAAAGCCAGTCCACACTGCACTGAGGGTTCCTAGTGAAATGGCTATCACACCTGCATTTCAGAAGTGATGTTCTAGTTTCATTCTATTGTTGTGACAAACACCATGGCCAAAAAGCAACTGGGAGGAGGAGAGTATTTATTTCACCTTATACTTCCAGGTCAGTCTGACGGAACCTGTAGGCAGGCTCAGAAAAATGTTGCTAGCTGGCCTGTCTCTGGTTCATAAGCCTATACCTAGCTAGCTCCCTCATGCAGCTCAGGACCACCAGCCTAAGAATGGTGATGCCCACAATGGGCTGCACCCTCCCACATCAATTAGCCATCAGGTCAATTCCTAACAGACATGCCCACAGTCCGATGTGATCTAGGCAATCCCCCAACTGAGGTTAAAGGGAGCCTCCGTTCCAGGTGACTCTGGGCTATGTCAAGGTGACAGTAAAAACTGACCACACAGGTGGTAAGTGGAAGAGGAAACTGCCAAAAAAAAAAAAAAAAAAAAAAAAAAAAAAAGACACAGACTGGTAAGGGGACAGGGAGATGAGGCATTACCAACAGCTCGAGTTCTGATCCAGGTTTGGTTCAGATGGGGAGAGGAGAGATGGTGTTGTACAGAACCACAGGCTAGAAGATGAGAACAACCCTGATGGCAGAGCCAAGGGCAAAGGTCATTAAGCCCTCACCAGCCCTCACTTATTAAACCAGCAAATCCTATGTGAATACCTCCAAATGTCAGGTATGCCTGGATCCGGACAAAGGCACATCTTGTCCCTGAGAAACTTAGAGTGGTAGGGCAGACAGACATTCAAAACTGGTAACTGGTTAAGAGATCAAGGCAATGGGTCTGAGGACGTGCATGATCCCTGCTGTTGTCCATTTCTGCTCTAGCAGTCAAAGCCATGTGTCATCTCTTTGATGCTCACATTTTTATACAGCAACACTTGGCTGTGCAATGACATTTCAAGAAAACACCTTTCCACTGCACAACTAAAGTGACATCACACTGGAACTGAAGCTTTGAGCTCCTGTCCTGACACAGGGATACACCCCAAGTCCACTACAGGGCCTTCCTAAAGATGTTTAAGTGGATTTCAAATCACAAACTTCATCCAAAGTAATCCTGAAAAATGACAAGGTTCTTTTACTTATTATCTTTTATGCATGATTGCTTCAGACTCCTGATCCTCCTGTCTCGGCCTCCTGAGTGCTTGGGCAAATATGCATACCCAGCAACACAACTCATTTAAAACAGCACAAAACTCCAAAAGCCGAGACACACACACGTGCGCGCGTGCGCGCACACACACCTATAAAATGCTAACTCTGAAACTGCCTGTCTGCTTGAAAAGTGACCCCAAGAAGAGGGCCACCAGAGCACCGTAACAGGTACAGACCACCCCCAGGGCTCCATGTGCCCATTCCCAGTGAGGACACTGACATTCCCCCTCCCCCATCCACCATGCTTGGAGCTATTCTTAAGCAGGACCTTCAGAACTGTCCTGGTCTCCTCGCCTGAGTAAACTACTGCACCAACTGGTCTGGGACTGGCCCTTCACACCCTCCTCAGAACTGCCAATATGGAGAGCCTCCTCACCAACCTCCCCTGCCGGCCTTGTCCCCTCCATTCTCAATGTGGTCCCACACTGTCATCAAAATAGAGGCCATGCTGCCTCGTCCTGGTAAGACACAGATGTCAGCCTTGTGGTGGAGATGCTGTTTGTGGGTGGGGTTGCAGCTCATCAGGGAGACGCTGAGAATTCCATCCCTGAACCACATAAACTGGGTGGGGTGGCATGTGTAACACTTGGGAAGATCAAAGGTCAGGCTACATACACACCCAAAACTAAGGTACTGACACATTTATGCTTTAAAGATACCATTTTCAGAAAAGTGTTATGAGTAAGGTTTTTCCCGCCAGTCTTGTCCCTCTGCCGCCTCGCCAGCCCCAAATAACACACAGAGACGCTATATTAGATATAGAGCTGTTGGCCAGTTACTAATTTCTTATCAGCTAGCTCTGTCTTAAATATTAACCCATTTCTATTAACCTAAGTACTTCCACGTGGTCTCATCTTACCAGAGAGAGGGGCTGGCGTTCTGCTCTCTCCGTCCTCTATCTTGGATCACCTCCCTACTCCTTCCTCTCTCCTCCTAGTCCCGCCTATCTTCCTTTCCTATTGGCCAACAGTGCTTCATTCATTAACCAATAAGAGAAACATATTTACAGAATGATATCTCCCATCAGAAAAGGGTGGGTGTGTTTCGGTTTTTGGTGAAATGTTAACATGGGCTTGCCGATTTCCTTTTTCTAGTTATAATACAAGATTACTTAAAAAATAAAATAAAAACTACAGAAGACAATTAAAACAATCCATAGCCCCAGCCCCATACAGCTAACTTATTTAAGAATTTAATTTTGTTATCTAAGTTAATCTTCACAGAAAAAAAAAAAATCCTTTGGGATAGGTGCTTTATTATCTCCTTTTTACAAAAGGTTAAAGAGCAAGAAAGAACCACCATAAGATGCTAGCATCTTCTCAGCCCTCTACCATCTCCATGCACCAACAGTTTAAAAAGTAGACTGTGTACGCTCTTATAGCTCTTATAGCTAATTTTCCCATCCCACTGGTAAGAGGTCACAAGCACTGGTCAATTACCATCACCTCCCTTTTCTTTTCTTTGGGGGTGGGAGTGGTGCTGAGTAAGGATCAAGACTGGGGTTGGGATGCTAGTGGGCTGGTTACCCAGAAGGACCCAGGGTCCCACAGTGAACTTACCATGCTTCTCAAAAGGAATGTCATCTTCCACAAAGGGCTCGAAATCTTCCCGCTGCCTTATCATGAAGTCAACCGTCTCTTGTCGGTGTTTGAGATGGTTCCGGGAATGACCCTCCAGCTGGTCGCCCAGGGCTCTGAACAGGCAATTGCTGTCAAGAAAGAGATGCTCGTCAACACCTTTTAAAAGGGGACTCAGCTAGTGACATGCTGTATCTCATGCCCTGCTGTCCTCGGAAGAGGGGACACCTCAGCTTGGCAGATCAACCACTTGAGAGGCAGCAAATAAGGATTCCTGCCCAGCTCACCAGCTGCCTGCCAAAAGCTCAAAGCAAATATTAAATTACTTAGGGCCTCAGATAGGTCAGCTCCTGTATATAGGACGTAGACCTCACATACTACTCCAGGCCTAGAACTCCCAGATCCCTTCCAAAATGACGTCACACCTACCCATACCTTTCTGAAGCAAGCTTCACAAAAACCACCCAGCTAGGACATCTGTCATTCAGTACTCAAGAGACAGCAGCTTGTCAAGCTGAAAAAACAGTCTGCACCATGTCTGGGATGCAGTGGGGAAAGCCGAGGAGGAAGGGCCTGGACACAAATGGTTATACCAGAGAAAGACAGGACCCCTTGCCTGCCCATCTTGTCCCAGAGAACCACAATACCATTGTTAAGCATCATGTTTGGTTTCTAAAATTAAAATGCTAGTATCAAGGCTAGCAAGATGGTTAGTGGTAAAGTACTGGGTCCAAGATGCAACCTGGGCAACCCAGCTCTAGTCATGACTCTCCCAACTACCAAAGTATTAGCCCGTAGTTACCCCATGTGCAAATAGTAGTACATTTTTCATCTGCCATACTTTGAGCCCACTAACAAGTCAAAAAACACTGCAATTACTTGTTTCTCTGACGGGATTACAAGGCAGCAGCAACACAGGAAACATAACAAACACTATAGTGACCTGGATTCCCTTAGGAAGCCCTGTAACCACATTGCAGATGTCAGTGAGAACAAAACCATGGCCCTTAGGGCCTCCAGGAGACCCAGCTGTTTCCTGAGTTCACACTCTCACCACTACAGGGCAGCTGGGCTGCTCAGTGCCCACACTATGGACACCTGGGGTCACCCTGTGCTGCAAGGAATACCGGACTTACTGCCAGTACTTGGTAACACACTTAGGTTTTGCCCACCAGATGCCAGGACCACACCATATCCCTCCTCACCAGCTGTGACAACCAACAATGTCTCCAGACAGTCCCAATTGTCCCCTGGGAGGCAAAACCATCCCTGCTTGAGAACCACTGTGCTTTAGGGATACACAGATGTGTAAGGTCCTACATTTGAGTTCAGAAAAACAACCAATTACAGAATGCTATAAGGCACACACCTATAGCAAGTTACCATCATAGGCCATTCAAACTGTAATCAGGCCAGAACAGAAACAGTGGAAACTCGCCATCACTATATTTTAACCTAATACTACACAACAAATATTAATGCATTAAAAAAACTCTGTGAATTGGGTGGCAGTGGTAGTGCATGCCTTTAATTCTGGGAGACAGAGGCAGGTGAATCTCCGAATTTGAGCCCAGCCTGGTCCACACAAGAGTTCCAGGACAGCCAGGGTTACATAGAAAAACTATCTTGGGGGGAAAAAGAAATCTGTTGACACTTCCCATACATACACTCAGTGATGAATGACAGCAGAGCCAGCCTGTCCTCCAGTGCCACCCAAGAAAAGACCAGTATACAGCAGGCTAGTTTCATGACCTACCTAACAATGCCAAAGAACAAACTGGGAAGCTACCTCCCAGCACTACTCCCTCATTAAACTGCGCTCCCATTCCACTCCACAACTGGTGGAGCTAACAGATACAGAGCGCTCCAGGCCTCTACACGGCACTCATCCGGGAATGCTCTCTTGGAGAAACCCTATTGCTCCTTCTTGAATGGAGAGGCGCTTGCTCATGGAAGTCACTGTCTATTTGCTGTCGGAATAAGAAAGGGTCTTCCCTTTCTTCATTCTCAGTAGTACCATTATAATCAGTTACTAAGATGTTATCAAACTGCTTTCCCCCATAGCAACTGCTCTCCAGATAAATTAAATTCTTGAGACCCTTTCAGGATGTCCATACATTCAAAACAAAGGCCTTTATGCTCTTCATTCTCATTCTCTCACAAGAATGCAGTAGTTTCCAAGAGGCTATCAACTCACTGGGCACGGTGGCCCATGCCTTTAATCCCAGCACTTGGGAGGCAAAGGAATGTGGATCTCCGTAACTATGAGTTCAAGGCCAGCCTGGTCTACATAGTAGTGAGTTCCAGGACAGCCAGGGCTACATAGAAAAACCCTGTCTCAAAGAGAGAATAAGGAGGGGGACTACTATCTTGAAGCATGGGTGGCTAATGGGTGTATGTGCACTTGCGTAAGCATTGAGCTATGGCTCATACAGTATTCATGCAGGTGTTTATTCCTCGGCGATTTGTATAAATACAAAGGGGTCCAAAGACAAAATATGAGTGACCTACTGTTACACATCTCTCAACTGTGAACCCTTCTAGATCTTAGTCTGTTTCTAGCACTCCATTCAATGTTTGAGAATTAACTGAAGAAGTCTGCTGTCTTGGGGAAAGGAGAAAGTAAATGCTCCCAGAACTTCATGGAAGTCCTCAGGACTCACTCTAGACTCTGGATTGCTGTTCATGAGCTACTGTGAAGTATCTATTTACCCCTCCCATACCCCCGACATATTTCTTTGACATAGATTGCTGTCTGACTGACACAATCCAACCCTTTGCAGGGCAGCCTCACCTGGGTCCATTGCATTCAACTGATACTTTTCGTTTGTTTGGTTTTCAAGATGGGGTTTCTCTGTGTAACAACCCCAGCTCCATCTGTAGAGCAGGCTGGCTTCCAATTCAATAAAGATCTGTCTGCCAGTGATGGGATTAAAGGTACCCGCCACCACCCCAGGCTGTAAGATGCTTTGATGTCTACAGTAGAGTCCGTGCTTCTGCTGGAGCGAGGTGGCCTCCTTTAATACTTTTTATCTCTTCACTCAGGAAAAAAAGAAAAAAATGGGCCAGATGGTAATGGTGCAGAATTTTAATCCCAGCACTGGGGAGGCAGGGGTAAGAGGATCTCTGTGAGTTCAAGGACAGCCTGGTCTACAGAGCAAGTGCCAGGACAGCCAGGGTTACACAGAGAAACTCTGTGGGGGGAGGGGGTGATAAAAATGTCCTGAATGCCTTCTATGACCCAGGAACTGTTCTAGGTGGTGGCTGAATGCAATTAGATGAAATTAAGCACAAATACCTAGGTAGGAAGGTGTGTCCAACTCTTTGTGAACAGAGCAAAACCCAATTGCCTGAAGCTCTGAAGGCAGGAAAGACAAATGGGGCTGATTAAGTCTTGATCGATAACCTTCAGTGTGGCATGAAATAAAACACTTTCTGCGGTGGGCAGAAGTGCACACCTTTAATTCCAGCAGGCAGCTGAGTTTATGGGCAACCTGGTCTACCGAGGGGCTTCCTGACTAGCCAAGACTACACAGTGAGAAAGAAAAGAAAAGAAAAGAAAGAAGCAGGAATAAAGAAAGAAAAAAAGGAAGAGAGAGAAGAAATCTCTTTCTTTAGAATTTTTTCTCCCACCATTTCTAAGGCTCTCGAAGTTTCTTTGCTTTTTTTTTTTTTTTTTTTTTCTTTTTTGAAACCCTCTCACTCCTGAGTTGGCCTCAACCTCATAGCAACCCCACTGACTCAGTGCTAGCATACAAACAAGAGCCACCAAACCTGGCTTATGCTCCTTAGCTATATCCACTCTTTCAGCAGCTCAACCTGACCACTCACGGAAGAGAAAACACTAATAGTGTCTCTTGCAACAACATCTGGCAACCAGGCTTCCTCTTCCCGTCTCTTTACCCTTTTCCTTCTCTCTCCCCACGCTCCTGGACCCGCGTTTCTTTTCCATTAAGTTCCTTCCCCTTACCTACCACTGTTCCCTCTTTCCAGCTGCTACTAGTGTTATCGGGTTACCTGAAAGAGCTGGCCCGGCATCCTCACGCAATGGCTAAAGTCTTTTGCTTGGGGAACCCAAGGGGTAGGAAGTAGGAAGATGCCTTCAGCTCTCCGTCCTCATAACCCCAGTGCAGAAGGGAGCGAGGAGGCCCAGCATGACACCGGGTGTGACCTAGGTCCCTTCCATTCGGCTTCATCACAGGTGCACCTCGAGGTCACCTCTCAAACTGCCCCGGGTCCTCGGAGGACCTGCTGCAGCGTTCCACCAGGCCCGATCCCTACTTCCCTCATGGCAACCGACCCAGCGCATCCCCAGCGCCACCTCCCGCACCCCCGACCCGCCTCACCCGTCCCCCGGCACCTCCCGCAGTTTCAGCCCCAGGGCTTGCAGCTGGTTGGCGAAGCTCACAAACTCTTCCTCGCCGGCGCTGCCTCCCGGCTCGGGCCGGTTCCGCCGTTCCTTGGCCAGCGCCCGGCGCGCCGCCCGCTCATCCCGTTTGCGCTCCGCCTCGGCTCTGCGGCCGCCGCTGCCCGGCCGGCTCCTCGCCGCCTGCTTTCGCGACATGGCTGCGGCACACGGCCCGCCGTGAAAGGAGCCGGAGCCGGAGCCGGAGCGGCAGAGTGCGGGGCCGCAGCCTCAGCCGGCTACCCGGCGGAGCGGCGCACCGGGGACGGCCCCCCGGGGACGGCGACACTGCGCCGGCGCGGTCGCCTGGCACCCGGGTCACGCGGATCTAGCCCCGCCCCTTGGAGGGCTGGGCCGGTAGACACCATAGAGAGAACGCTAGGAGAGCTAGAGAAGCACCTGTCTTGGTTGGGTCTCTTCTGCCCCCTGGTGGTAGATTGTACTCAGTGAGGAACAGGTGGGACCAAACAGGAAAAGTCAAGGACATACTGACAGAAGATGTCAGAGCAGATGCAAAAATTTGAAAAAGAAGGAAATTGAGACAGATAATTTGGGAAGATGCTTGTGTAGCATGGGAAAATTCAAGTTCGGTTACACACGCGCGTGTGCGGGCGGGCGTGCACAAACACTTTAAAATCTAAGTCTACGATAATTAGAGAGATAGCTCAGTAGGTACAGTGATTGCTCCACAAGCAAGAAAACCTGAGTTAGGATCACCATCACCCACTGTACTGGTTGGTTTGTGTGTCAACTTGACACAAGCTACAATCATCAGAGGAATGAGCCTCCGCTGAGGAAATGCCTCCTTGAGATCCAGCTGTAAGGAATTTTCTCAGTGATCAGTTGGGGGGGGCAGATTATGGTAGGTAGTCCCATCTCTGGGCTGGAAGCCCTTCCTGGGTTCTGTAAGAAGCAGGCTGAGCAAGCCATGGGAAGCAAGCAGCTCCCTTCCGTCTCCTCTGCATCAGCTCCTGCCTCTGGGACCCTGCTCTATTTTAGTTCCTGCCCTGGCTTCCTTCAGTGATGAAGAGCAATGCTGAAGTACAAGACAAATAAACCCTTTCCTCCCCAACTTGCTTTTTGGTCATGGTGTTTTGTCACAGCAGCAATAGAAACCCTAACTAAGACACCCACTTTAAAAAGGGTAGGCATGTCAGCAGCCCCTATGATCCCATCACTGAGAAAGCAGAGGTAGTCCACTCCGTTTACTGGCCAGTCAGCTCAGCCAATCAGTGAATCCCAAGTTCAATGAGAGACCGTCCCAAGAAAATGGTGGACCATGAGCTCACTGCAGCTACGATAACCCTCCCAAGAGCAAGTCAACAGGGTCAGTCAACATTCCAAAAGGAAGCACTAATTTAATCAGTTCTTAAAAAAAAAAAAGAAGTTGGGGGTGTATAAGATCAAAGTCATTATTTACATGTACAAAATTGCCAAAGAATAAATAAAAGATATTCTTTTTAAAAGATGGGGTCAGGAGAGATGGTTCGGTGATAATGGGCACTTGTGATTCTTACAGAGGTCCTGGGTTCGGTTCTCAGAACACACAGAGAGGCTCACAGCCACCTGTAACTAGTTCTGGAGGAATCTGGTGCCCTCTTCTGGCCTCTGCAGCATTGTACGTACATGGTGTACACACACACACACACACACACACACACACACACACACACACACACTCAGGCAAAACACCCATGCACAAAAAAAAAAAAAAATAGGTTAATATTTTTAAAAACTAAGGTGGAGAGAGCAAATGAGGAAGACATTGGTGCTGACCTCTGACCTCCATATGATGCACACATGCACACACCTCACACACAGGTGCACACACATGCAAATGTGAGCCCTTATTGAGAGGGACATGTCTATGTGGCTGCTCCTTTCCAGATTATAGGAAACTGGACCCAAGAGGTTAAGTGACTGTGAGGACCACTGAGCTGAGACTCGGTTGTTGCCCTGATCCAGAGCCCGCATACTTCATTACTTCTGCCAGTACTTTCCCAATGACCCAAAGGAGAGAGCCCTTCTGTCCGTTGATCTGGATTCCATCCTTGGATGGCCAAACTAGGTTTGTCTGGACTCAAGCTGTTCCTGGGATGCAGAACTTTCTGTTTCAAATCTGATAGTGCAGGCTGGAGAGATGGCTCAGAGAGGTCCTGAGTTCAATTCCCAGCAACCACATGGTGGCTCACAACCATCTGTAATGAGATCTGATGTCCTCTTCTGGTGTACAGGCATGCAGACAGAACATTGTATACATCATTTTTTTTTAAAGACTGATAGTCCTGGAAAAGCCAGACTAGTTGATTACCCTACGCCATGCCCACTTGCTCTGAGAGCTACCACCACCAGTAATTACATCTCTCTCATCTTGGTTTCTTTATCTTACCCTCTCTTTCCACAATAATGTCACTGTATTCTCTTTTGCACCTTCTGTCCAATTGAGAATGTTTTTCATTACCTGTCCTGGGAACACGAGCTCACACTTAAATCCAAACAGTGGGGAGGCTAAGGCAGGAGAGCGCCATGAAGTTGAGGCCAACCTGGGCTTCGGGGTGCTATTGGGCTAGACTAAGCTGGAGTGAGGCACCGTCTCATAAAACCAATAATAAGTTTATTGCAGTGACTCATGGGAGTATAATGAGGGGCAGTGATCACTAGAAGGCAGCTGCATCGCTGAGGCCCACCGCAGCCTGGATGTCCCAGTTCACAAAAGCTGCTTCTCTAAAGCTCCCTGCACAGCTTGCAGGCTGCTGCCCAGGCCAGAGAGTCTCCTCCATCTGCTTCCTTCATTATTAGCTTCAGGAACTTCCTGACACTTCCTGAGTCTCATGAGCCTCCTTCTTTGGAGGAATGTTTCAGTTCAGAGGAGACTGCTACACAGAACAGACAGGGTGCGGAATTAGAGAGGCATGCCTCTTGCCTACAGAGACCAGAATCCACAAGGATGCAGTGATGACAACACTGTATGACAAATGCTACTAAGAAAGTGTGTTGGGGGGGGGGGTAGCAGGGGGAATGAAGTTGTCAAAAATGCAAAGAAGTATCTCAAAAGAGAAGCTTCTCAGTTGCAGCTTGAAGGGTGAGTAGACGTGGTCCAGAGCAGAGGAAACGGAGTCTCCAGCACCACATCTGGGCTTTGAGGAACTGAAGGAATGTGAGACTTGAGCCTTGAAACAGGAGATTGGAAGGAGAGCCATGCTGTAATTTGCATATGGTTCATCCTCCAAAGGTTTGTGCTTCAGAAGCTTGGTGTCCAGCATGGCAGTGCTGAGGTGGTGGGACATTTAGGAAGTGGGTTCTGGGACTGGAGAGTTGCAATGAGCACGCATGCATTCATTTCCCTCTGCTCACGACGGTGGCTATGATGTCACTGGCTGCTTCAAGTTCCTGCCTTGACTTCCCTGCAATGATAGACTGTCAACTAGAATTATGGTGAACTGTAATCTTTTCTCCCCTAAGTTGCTTTTTGATGTTTTTTTTAATTTTTTATTTTTATTTTATGTTTGTTGGTGTTTTGACTGAATGTATATCTGCTTGAGGGTGCCAGAAGATCTGGAAATAGAGTTACAGGCAATTGTGAGCTGCCGTGTGGGTACTGGGAATTGAATCTGGGTCCTCTGGAAGATCAGGCAGTGCTCTTAACCTCTGAGCCATCTTTCCAGACCCTGCTGAGGTATTTTATCACAGCAACAGAAACGAAGTTGAACTCTGTGGAGGAAGGAGTATGTCTGTCCCATAAACCTCTTCATCCTTCCCAAAGCAAATGGTGCACTTGCATGTGAGGAGTGTGTCCATTGGGAACCCTTGATGTGCAAGCATAAACAATCGACTGTCCACTTCAACAGGAACACCACCTCCCCTCCTTTGGAAGAGTCATCAAACGCCACACAACATTTAAAGAAGGAGGCCAGAGGAAAACAAGACCAATTCACATGGGCAGCTCTCCTATACACAGCGTATGGCAGGACGGGCAATTCTGTGCATCTTCTGTGTGAAGATGGAAGAGACTCCCTCAGCACAAGCATCTCAGGAAGTGCTTGTTGTGTGGTCATTTGTTTCCACCATGGCCGCCATTCTGACTAGAGGGTTTTGTTTGTTTGTTTTTATTTTATTTTATTTATTTAATCCTGACCACAGCCTCCCTTCCCTCCTCTCTCCCGTTTCCCTCATCTCTCTATGCCCCTCCATCCATCCCCCTGGTATTCACTCAGAAAGGGGCAGCGCTCTCATGGGCATGAGTAAAGCATGATGTATCAAGCTGCTGTAAGATCAAGCACCTCCCTCTGTATTCGGGCTGGCCCAGGCAGTCCAGCAGGAGGAGCCAGCCAAAGCACCAGGGACAGCCCTGCTTCCATTGCTAGGAGTCTCACAAATAGACCAAGCTACACAACTGTCACATATATGTAGAGGGCATAAATCGGTCCCATACAGGCTGCCTGGTTGTTAGTTCAGACTCTGAGTTTCCATGAGGCAGGCTAGCCACTTCTGTGGGTTTTCCTGCGATGTCCCTGATCTCCTCGACTCCTACAATCCTCCTCCCTCTCCTCAGAAAGACTTCCCCAAGGTTGGCCTAATGTCTCTGAATCTGTCTTCATCAGCCACTGGATGAAGGCTATCCCATGACAACAGGGGCAGTCACCAATCCAATCACAGTAGATAGCCGGTTCAGGCTATGCATCCATTGCTACCAGGAGTCTTAGCTGAGGCCATTCTTGTAGATTCGTGGAAGTTTCCTTTACATCAGGCTTCTACCCCACCCAGTATAGTTCCCTTTCCTGTTGCTCTCTCAGCAATCTCCCCCTCTGCCCACCCCCAACCCGATCCCTCAAGTTTCCATCCACCCGATTGGAGGATATCTTTCTGTATATCTGTTTCTCTTATTGGTTGATAAATAAAACACTGTTTGGCCAATAGAGGCAGGAAGTTAGGCAGGACTAGAAGATGAGGAGAATTCTGGGAAAGGTAGGCAGAGGGACCACGAAGAGACATCATGTAGCCAAGGAAGGAGTAACAGGTCCGAGCCCTTCTCTGGTAAGATAAGACCACATGGAAATACTTAGATTTATAGAAATGGGTCAATAATTAAGACAGAGCTAGCCAATAAGAAGCCTTAGCTATCGGCCAACAGTTTTATAAATTAATATAGCATTGGTGTGTCTATTTGGGGCTGATAAGGGTGTCAGGACCTGGTGTCACAAGAAATTCCAGCAACACCCACACCCCCCAGT